CTCTCCAGAAAGGAAGTACTAACTTACACTCTCACCGTTTTCTGAAAGATAACAAATATGAGTGCAAACAAATACAGTAAGAAGTCCTAACACTGCTTTTCCCTCCCAGAGTCTCCTTCTGTTGACTTGAACTCTAGTTATTATCCCTTCCCCTTTGAAGGGTGATACTTTGCAAAGCACCAGCTTCCTCCCTCCTGTGGGCCATTCAGTGCAGTGGCTCAGGCCTGAACCCAAGGCAAAAACTGACCCATCCATCATGAACTGGAGTAGACTTGACAGTCACTAGCAACAAGATATCAATCATTTCTGAGAGATTCCAAGTTGTTTGATAAACACAGTGTTGTGTGTCTGATAAACACAGTGTTGCCTTGAATGACTTACATTCCGCTGTTGGTGGTGAGATTGTATGTTTGTTTGTTTTGCTTTTTAGTAACTTAGGTGGATTCCACACCCTACCCCCCCCCTTGCCCCCGTAGAGTGGATTAGTGATATCCCATACCCAGCACTTCTCAGAAAAAAAAAAAAAACACCCATTGCTGGTGCTGTTGAGTCGATTTTAACTTATGGTGTCCTCAAGACACAGTATGACTGCCCCCTAGGGTCTCCAAGGCTGTAATGTTTACAGAAACACACTGCCACATCTTTCTCCGGTGGAGGTGGAGAATCTGGTGGGTTCAAACCACCAATCTTTCATTAGAATCTGAGTGCTTAAGCACTGCGCCACCAGGGCTCCTGACAGCACTTCTCACTTGTATTCAAATGTGCTTTCCTGAGCAGAAAAGAAAGGGATGGAGCCACAACTTGCAGCTGCAGTCAGTGTGCTTGGCTATTGCTAATGTCCTACTTTTGATGATGGAGACTGTAAAACAGTCCAACTTTTAATTGTTTGCAATATCTATTTTTCAAGTTTGTCAACATCTGGTCCTGCCCAGGGGAGTGTGTTGCGTCAACATCATCTGTCGTGTGGGTTGTGGTGGAAAAAAAAGATTCAACCCTGGGATCTAATCCCATTGTCTTTCTGGACCAGGAATGCTACCACTATGCTTATAAATAATCCTCTACTGTGTCTCTTAAAGGGCAAAGGGAGGAGAAAAATACTGATGTAATCATTTCCAGCTAGGAAGATAAAAGGAATCATTCTATTTCTCAAAACTAACTTTTTTGTTTGTTTAGTTAATGAGAAAAAGATGTAGCTATACCTGGACATCCAAGGCTACCTGGCTCACCCTTCAGACCAGGTGGACCAAACTGACTTGCAGGGTCACCTTTGATTCCTGTAAGTGATAAAATGCACATAACATGTTTAAGAAAATTTAATTTGGTCATATACAAGTGACTTAATAACTTCTATGACATTTTTCTTTATCTTCAAATATTCCAGGAAAAGAATTTTGTAAAACTTTTTTTTCTCCAAACAACAAATGGAAATACAGAAGCAATATGTGATTCACACACTCATCCATAGGCACACACACACGATCTTATAAGTCATAACAATCACAGAGACTGTAGATCTTAAGTTTGAGTTTTTAAGTCTCTAAAGAAGTTTCAAATTTAGGTTTTCATTTAAGAAATCCCTTGGCATTGAGTGACTATACCCTTAAGTTATGTTTTGGAAACACAAAGCAGAAATTGTCACGGCTTCAGCAACTGCATTCGCATTTCAAGTTTCATCAAGGAAGCTCAACTCAGTGTCCTTGCAAAGTAAAAATCACAAAGGCATACTTTATTATGACTTTACAAGAGATGGCACTTTCAAAGGCCATTGTTTATAATCACTCCCACAGTCCCACAGAGCTGTTCAACTCTGCTGCATGATGCTTCCAGATAAAGGGGCTGACACAATAGCAAGGAGCCAGTTTTAGATGGAGGACTCAAAGCGGAGTGGATTAGAAAGACAGTACAACAGTAAGGCTATGGAAAATAAAAAGGATAAGCTAGGCATGTGTTACAGTATCTGCCAACCAACATCGTCTTCTAAGGGCCTCAACCCATTATCTTGGGGTAAGGTCTCTTCTACCTGCTGCTACCCATAATCACAGCTACTTGTTTGAGGGGAAGGATTCTGACTAGAAAGTGGTTTCCCAAGTCAGGTAGTCTTTTCCTGAGAAGTTGGAATGAAAAATGAAAATTTGAAGTCCTTAGTTTTGGGGGCAGAAACCACAAGTATGTACAATGAGCTGCCAGGCACAGATCAGGTTGGGGTGCAATCTAAACACAGAAGATCCTGAAGGATGCAGAAAAGACAGTGATGAAGCCAGTTAGTAGACAGGTGAGTAAAGAACAGATTAAAAAGAAAAAAAAAAATCTCAAGAAAGAAACCATGGATTGCCTAAGGGTTAGCTCCATCAGCCTTATGGTCTGGAAGAACTATGGCTCCTATTTTTGGGCTCCATGAGACATCTTTTACTCCAGGTACCTTGAGTGCATTTCAGGGCCTTGAAAACAAGGCCAAATGCAACTGTGAAGGAAATGGGAAGAGGTAGGTTTATACTATGAGAGAGGCAAAGGGATTATAATAAGTTTTAAGTAAGTAGACAAGGTGTGAGTTCTGAACCCTAAAACTATAATAATCATCGAAATCAAATATGAAAACTTCCCTATTTGTAAGAATTTCTCAAGAAGAGATCTAGACTTTTTTTTCTGAATACATAAACATTTCAGTTCATTTTTTCTTAACAGTGATTATCATATTATTTATAGAGTGTCTACCTAAGTATAAAATATATTGCATTGATGGTAAGGAAAAGGATTTTATGGTGTTCATTAATAAGTATTTTATATTTTAAAGTTATTTGTTTTAATATATATTAAAATAAAATATAGCTTCACATCAAACCTGTGAATTCACAGATAGTGATTAGGATGAAGCTAAATTAAAAAGGTGAATCACTTAAAAGATTTAAAGAAAAATATTAACACAAACAGTAAAAATATTAAAGTTTTCATGTAAAGACTGAAATATAAGAAATCTTGATTTTTCTTTATTCATTTGTTTGCTTGTCTGAAAGAGTTAACAAAATCTCTCTTTAAGGATACTATTGACCTTGGGTTAATTTTCTAGGACTGTTTCCTTGGAAATCTCAAAAAGGTAGAATTCCATTTGTGTTACAAGGCAATGTTGTTTTTTGTAGGAGGCAAACTAAGGCCTGTGGGGCCAATCCAGTCTGCCACCTGTTTGGTAAATAGATTTATTGGAACACTACACTCATCTGTTTATATACTGTCTATGACCTATTTCATGGTACAACAGCATAGCTGAGTAGTCCTGAGAGAGACCATATGGCCTTCAAAGCATTTGCAGACCCTTGGCTTATGGTAAAAATAACCTGATTATAAATTACATCTGGCCTAGGAATTCTTTAAGTAAACTACAGATCTCTAGTGGGAAGTCATGGGTCTCTGTAATGACCTCTCTATAATGACTCTTGTAACAGGGACCCTAAAAGCTATACCTATGGAGTTGTTAGAAGAGATAATGGCACTTGGGGTGCATGGGACTTCCAGGCCAACAAGGACATGGTCCATAGACATGGATCTCGCTTCCCTGCACCTGACTTACTTGAGGGGTAACCTTAGTTACTTGAGGGGCTGCAGGCACTATGTGGCTGCTGCAAGGCTTCCTACTGAAGAGGAAGACCTGTGCCCTGCTGGCATGCTTTTCCTATTTGATACCTTTCAATCTGTATGACAAGGGTGGACAATTTGAGTTGATTGTCTGACAGTCTAGCGGAGCCTTAGAACAACCCCTGGAGTACTGAATTTGTTTTATATATGTGGTTTTTAATGCTCACTCACAACAGTACAAATGCAGCACAGAGGACTATGCTCTTGGCAGATGGATGCTGTCTTTCCAAACCATACCTTTAGGTCCTCTCGCGCCATCAATTCCTGAAAGTCCAGTGGGGCCTGGAGAACCTGGACCACCCTGGGAGTTAATGAAACAGAAGGGAGACTTTACCGGCTTTCATATATAGAAGACACATACATGACAAGGTCTAGGAATAATTTTCTGTAACCAATCTAGTTATCATAATTTTCAATGGTAAAGAAAATTGGAAATGCAATGCAAGTATACTTGTACATGCATTTAATTTTCAAAAATAGTCAAACCAGTCAAGAAAAGGCCTATATATGGAAGAACACTTTGTTGGTTACCAGGGATGAGAGGGGAGGGGAGGGAACACTGCTAGATATGTATTGATTTGGGTGAGGGGAAAGGCAATATACCAAAAGCAAGTGAACAACACAATAACACTAAGGAAAACGAAGACACAGAGTGGTACACAAGAGGTACAGACAACAAAGATAAACACCTTTACACACACAACACTGCACTATCCGTGATAACAAACATTAATCTATAGGTAAACAAATGGGTAGACAGGCTGAATGATCAGGTATGTCTAGGCAAAAGGGAATATATCCACAACCACACATAAGGCTGGCAGATGATATTATTACATATGTATTTGGATGAGCTGTAAGAATATCCACATATATAATAGAGCTAGCAAAGAGCAAAGTTATGATAATGTCTTAGCCACAGCCAACCACTTTGAGGAAGTGAGTAGTTTGGACCTGTGGGCTTGGGACCATGGTCGCAGGGGACATCAAGCTCAATTGGCATAACAAGCTACACAAAAACATTGTTCTACAACCTACTTTGATGAGTAGTAACTGGTGTCTTAAAAGCTTGCAAGTGGCCATCCAGATGCACCAATAGGTTTCTCCTCATTCAGAGCAAAGAAGAATGAAGAAGACCAAACATACATGGAAATAATTAGTCCAAGGACTAGCAGACCATGTGAACCTCAGCCTATATGACTATGAGACCAGAAGAACTAGATGGTGCCCAGCAACTACTGTCAACCACTCGGAAAGGGATCAGTGCAGGAGATCCTGGATAGAATGGGAGAACAATTTGGAACAAAACTCAGAAACATAGAAAAGACCAAGTTTACTGGTCCAATAGAGCCTGGTGAGACCCCTGAAGACTACAGCCCCTAGTTACCCTTCAGGTCTGCGAATGAACTCACTCCCATGGTTTCTAGCCAAAAAATTGGCAGGCATATAGGGTGAATTTTTACATCAGGTAGATATACTCGTTAGAATGGTCAATCATAGAAGAACAAAATGGCAGTATTTGCACAGGGCGATAGACTTGGGGGCATAGGAAAGAAGGACACAGGAAAGCAGTAACTACAGGGAGGAAGTGGGAAGAGAGGGGTTGCATTGTTGGGAATTGCAGTCAATGTCATAAAATAAAATAGTTATGAACTGCTGTATGGGAAATGAATTTGCTCTGTAAACTTTCACCCAAATCACAATGATAATAATAATAATAAAGTTAAACCACTCCAAAAAGAGATGTAAATACTAACAGGTATTTGCTAAATTTGATTACAAAACAGTAATTACATTGCATAATTTGAATATTAAGTTTTCAATGAACAAGTTGATAATAAATAAAATATTATTGGATGTCATATCACACTATAATTTTAAAAATCCATTTTATTCCAAAAGATAGGTATCAAATTATATGATGCATTTTCTGAAAGCATAATTTAGGCCACCACATTTATTGTACCTCCTGGCTTCTCAAGAGATAGTTTACTCGTGAATAAAAGACCAATTGGTATTTACATCAAAATCTGTGGCATATGCCATCACTGCTATTGAGTCGGATCTGACTCACGGCGACCTCTCCTTGGGTTTCCGAGGCAGTATCACTATGGAAGTAGATTGCCCAACCTTCCTTCCAATGAGTGGCTGGTGGGTTTGAACCACTAGTCTTCTGGTTAGCAGTCAAATGCCTTAGGCACTATGCCACCTCAGCCCCTGTATATGCCATCAGACAGGCTTATTTGGCACTTAGAAATGTTCTGAGTCATTTCCTAAGACAGCTTTTCATTCACAAGGCAAGTCTCTGCTGAGTTGTTTAAACCAGGCCTAAGGCATTTGACTGCTAACCAGAAGGCTGGCGGTTCAAACCCACCAGCCACTCCTCGGAAGGAAGGTTGGGCAATCTA